CCGTAGTTAACTCTGCATGCATCTGAATAGGTCCCATCAATCCCTTGCCGTAGTTAACTCTGCATGCATCTGAATAGGTCCCATCAATCCCTTGCCGTAGTAAACTCTGCATGCATCTGAATAGGTCCGATCAATCCCTTGCCGTAGTTAACTCTGCATGCATCTGAATAGGTCCCATCAATCACTTGCCGTAGTAAACTCTGCATGCATCTGAATAGGTCCCATCAATCCCTTGCCGTAGTTAACTCTGCATGCATCTGAATAGGTCCCATCAATCCCTTGCCGTAGTAAACTCTGCATGCATCTGAATAGGTCCCATCAATCCCTTGCCGTAGTTAACTCTGCATGCATCTGAATAGGTCCCATCAATCCCTTGCCGTAGTTAACTCTGCATGCATCTGAAACGGTCCCATCAATCCCTTGCCGTAGTTAACTCTGCATTCATCTGAATAGGTCCCATCAATCCCTTGCCGAAATTAACTCTGCATGCATCTGAATAGGTCCCATCAATCTCTTGCCGTAGTTAACTCTGCATGCATCTGAATAGGTCCCATCAATCCCTTGCCGTAGTAAACTCTGCATGCATCTGAATAGGTCCCATCAATCCCTTGCCGTAGTTAACTCTGCATGCATCTGAATAGGTCCCATCAATCCCTTGCCGTAGTTAACTCTGCATGCATCTGAATAGGTCCCATCAATCCCTTGCCGTAGTTAACTCTGCATGCATCTGAATAGGTCCCATCAATCCCTTGCCGTAGTTAACTCTGCATGCATCTGAATAGGTCCCATCAATCCCTTGCCGTAGTTAACTCTGCATGCATCTGAATAGGTCCCATCAATCCCTTGCCGTAGTTAACTCTGCATGCATCTGAATAGGTCCCATCAATCCCTTGCCGTAGTTAACTCTGCATGCATCTGAATAGGTCCCATCAATCCCTTGCCGTAGTTAACTCTGCATGCATCTGAATAGGTCCCATCAATCCCTTGCCGTAGTTAACTCTGCATGCATCTGAATAGGTCCCATCAATCCCTTGCCGTAGTTAACTCTGCATGCATCTGAATAGGTCCCATCAATCCCTTGCCGTAGTTAACTCTGCATGCATCTGAATAGGTCCCATCAATCCCTTGCCGTAGTTAACTCTGCATGCATCTGAATAGGTCCCATCAATCCCTTGCCGTAGTTAACTCTGCATGCATCTGAATAGGTCCCATCAATCCCTTGCCGTAGTTAACTCTGCATGCATCTGAATAGGTCCCATCAATCCCTTGCCGTAGTTAACTCTGCATGCATCTGAATAGGTCCCATCAATCCCTTGCCGTAGTTAACTCTGCATGCATCTGAATAGGTCCCATCAATCCCTTGCCGTAGTTAACTCTGCATGCACCTGAAGAGGTCCCATCAATCCCTTGCCATAGTTAACTCTGCATGCATCTGAAGAGGTCCCATCAATCCCTTGCCTTATTTAACTCTGCATGCATCTGAATGTGTCCCATCAATCCCTTGCCGTAGTTAACTCTGCACGCATCTGAATAGGTCCCATCAATCCCTTGCCGTAGTTAACTCTGCATGCATCTGAATAGGTCCCATCAATCCCTTGCCGTAGTTTACTCTGCATGCATCTGAATAGGTCCCATCAATCCCTTGCCGTAGTTAACTCTGCATGCATTTGAATAGGTCCCATCAATCCCTTGCCGTAGTTAACTCTGCACGCATCTGAATAGGTCCCATCAATCCCTTGCCGTAGTTAACTCTGCATGCATCTGAATAGGTCCCATCAATGCCTTGCCGTAGTTAACTTAACGCATAAGAACATTTCGTGCCAGAATCGACAATGCTTGTATCCTTTTAATTCCGGTACTGCTTTATTTATATCAACTGAACAAAATTATTTTATTGTTGATGTTTTTTTTTTTTTTTTTGTGGGGATCGTAACATTGCACACCAACTTTAGGCGTGGTCCGTTCATGACGTCACTTCTATGGATTCCATACCTACTGTTGATCCCATGATACAAGTTCACGTTTCAGCTGTCTGGCATTGAGGTATCTTTACTGTTGATTGGACTGTTTTGGACACGCTCGGTTCTTGCGATCAACATTGTGTCAGGAACGTGTCTAACGTGTCAAGTCAAGCACTGAGGTAACATCAACCAAGTAAAGATGGACGCGTGATGGAAAAATCTGATGGCAAAGTCTTCATAAGAAGAAAATATAGAGTATGAGCTAACAGCATAGAGTACGAGGTAACAGCGTTTAAAAACTTCTTCAAGTTTACTTTTACGTTGAGACATTAAACTTAATAGTTAAAAATGTACTTACCATGTCTTCAAAGATGCACACCTGTTAATCCGTTCATCACAGTTGGAATTCTTCACCTTATCACTTTCAACTGACAATGTCGCAGGAGCAGATCGACTGGGCTATTTCCTATTAGATTGCCAATAGTTTCTTTTTAAGTTTCGTGTTTGAAAAGCTCCTCACACGTGACCCCCACAGACACACAGATCGTGAGAAATAATTGTTTAGGCTAAATGAGAGGATTGGGAGAGATTTTTGTTCCATATAGGAATCTAACCTTACTTTGTTCCATATAGAAATCTAACCTTACTTTGTTCCAGATAGAAATCTAACCTTGCTTTGTTCCATTTAGGAATCTAACCTTACTTTGTTCCATATAGGAATCTAACCTGACTTTGTTCCATATAGAAATCTAACCTTGCTTTGTTCCAGATAGAAATCTACCTTACTTTGTTCCATTTAGGAATCTAACCTTACTTTGTTCCATATAGGAATCTAACCTTACTTTGTTCCATATAGGAATCTAACCTTACTTTGTTCCATATAGAAATCTAACCTTGCTTTGTTCCAGATAGAAATCTAACCTTGCTTTGTTCCATTTAGGAATCTAACCTTACTTTGTTCCATATAGGAATCTAACCTTACTTTGTTCCATATAGAAATCTAACCTTGCTTTGTTCCAGATAGAAATCTACCTTACTTTGTTCCATTTAGGAATCTACCTTACTTTGTTCCATTTAGGAATCTAACCTTACTTTGTTCCATATAGGAATCTAACCTTACTTTGTTCCATATAGGAATCTAACCTTACTTTGTTCCATATAGAAATCTAACCTTACTTTGTTCCATATAGAAATCTAACCTTGCTTTGTTCCAGATAGAAATCTACCTTACTTTGTTCCATTTAGGAATCTAACTTTACTTTGTTCCATATAGGAATCTAACCTTACTTTGTTCCATATAGGAATCTAACCTTACTTTGTTCCATATAGAAATCTAACCTTGCTTTGTTCCAGATAGAAATCTAACCTTGCTTTGTTCCATATAGAAATCTAACCTTACTTTGTTCCAGATAGAAATCTAACCTTACTTTGTTCCATATAGAAATCTAACCTTACTTTGTTCCATATAGGAATCTAACCTTACTTTGTTCCAGATAGAAATCTAACCTTACTTTGTTCCAGATAGAAATCTAACCTTGCTTTGTTCCATATAGGAATCTAACCTTGCTTTGTTCCATATAGAAATCTAACCTTACTTTGTTCCATATAGAAATCTAACCTTACTTTGTTCCATATAGAAATCTAACCTTACTTTGTTCCAGATAGAAATCTAACCTTGCTTTGTTCCATATAGGAATCTAACCTTGCTTTGTTCCATATAGAAATCTAACCTTACTTTGTTCCATATAGAAATCTAACCTTACTTTGTTCCTTACAGGAATCTATTTTTTACTTTGTTGCCCCCCTCCCCCCTCTTTAAAAAAAAATACTTTAAGAACATCGGTGGAGATTTTCGAGACGAGGCGCTAGAGCCACGTGTGGGTGACCAGTACCCACGTTGTCATGGACACAAGATCGAGGAAGAGACGACGAGGAGACAGGACGTACAGAGAGCAGGATGACCGTGAAGACCAAGGCAAGTAACTCTAGCGTCTCCACAACCAGATTCATTTCCTCTTCGCTTGATCACATTTGTTTATGCTTTTTTTAAGGGAAAAAAAAGGGGGGCGGGGGGGGGGGGGTTCCCTCTGTTACCCTTGTCGGAAATTTGCGGGTTTTCTCCATGACATTTTGGCATTTTTTACAAACAAATGTAACAAAATCCTACAATCATGAAGAATTATGGGAGCAAAGGAAACATTTTCTTGGATATAAATATAAAACATCTCCATGAAATAAAAGAAATGCATTCAAGACAAAGGCTCACGCAGGTTTTATGATACAACTGAAGGAGCAGAACTATACTTATTTTGTTGAACTTGACACTTTTTACACATTTTTCAATATTATTTGAAAAATTAAAATAAATATAATCAAATTTAATTTAAAAGAACAGGTCAACAACAGGTCAACAACAACCACAACAACAGGTCAACAACAACAACAACAACCACAACAACAGGTCAACAACAACAACAACAACCACCACAACAACAGGTCAACAACAGGTCAACAACAACCACAACAACAGGTCAACAACAGGTCAACAACAACCACAACAACAGGTCAACAACAACCACAACAACAGGTCAACAACAACCACAACAACAGGTCAACAACAGGTCAACAACAACCACAACAACAGGTCAACAACAGGTCAACAACAACCACAACAACAGGTCAACAACATGTCAACAACAACCACAACAACAGGTCAACAACAACAACAACAACAACAAACGCCGGCGTCTTTGAATTCAGCAGACCGTGAACATGTGTAGCTATAACTAGACCCCTTTAACAATATACCGTCAACCACCGTTTCTGTGTCTGTGTAGTCAGTGGCCACAACGATTACCACTTGGACCCTTACTGCCATTCTCCCTGTCTCCTTTCAGCCAGTGGCCACAACGATGCCACTTGGACTCATACTACCATTGCCCCTGTCTCCTTGCAGCCAGTTGCCACAAGGATGCCACTTCGACTCATACTACCATTCTTCTTGTCTCTCTGCAGTCAACTTTCACCAAGATACCTCAGCTGTCCTCCCGGACTATCAAGCAAGTACAAGCTGTTCCCCCGGCGAGGCCTCACTGGTCACGGGGCGCTGCTCCCCCAGCATGCCTCCACTGGTCACAGGGCGCTGCTCCCCCAGCATGCCTCCACTGGTCACCGGGATCATCTCGCCATCACCCCTCCCCCGACAGTGCAACTCAAGCCCTAAAGTCTCTCATGTCCGTAGTCCATCACCAGCTCGGATGTTTCGCCAGCGGGAGCAGTCAGAATTAAAGGTATTGGGGAGCAGTCAGAATTAAAGGTATTGGGGAGCAGTCAGAATTAAAGGTATTGGGGAGCAGTCAGAATTAAAGGTATTGGGGAGCAGTCAGAATTAAAGGTATTGGGGAGCAGTCAGAATTAAAGGTATTGGGGAGCAGTCAGAATTAAAGGTATTGGGGAGCAGTCAGAATTAAAGGTATTGGGGAGCAGTCAGAATTAAAGGTATTGGGGAGCAGTCAGAATTAAAGGTATTGGGGAGCAGTCAGAATTAAAGGTATTGGGGAGCAGTGAGAATTAAAGGTATTTGGGAGCAGTCAGAATTAAATGTATTGGGAAGCAGTCACAACTATAAGTATTAGGGAGCAGTCAGAATTATAGGTACTGGGGAGCAGTCAGAATTATAGGTACTGGGGAGCAGTCAGGACTATCGGTAATGGGTAACATTCACAACTGAAAAGGGTCCGGTAAAAAAATAAATTACATTTTTTTTGGTCAAAGTTGCCGGCCAAAAACTACAGATGATGACGTCAATTGAACATGTTCGATTTATGTTAAACAAAACTTAACATTCAGTTTTACAGAATTTACGAATAAAAATAATGAGCATCTCCAGTGATAAACAACGTAACAAGCCGATCAATTTTTGGTTTTGCGCCCCCCCCCCTCCGAAAAAAAAACAAAACAGATTTTGATTAGTTAAAAATTCCTTAATGCTATTTTAAAGGGACGTGACCACGTAGTCTGAAAATGAACGCTGGCTCAAACGTTGTCACCCTTCCTTGGTAGGACTAAAGCTTTTCATAAATTAATAAGCGTTCAATATCGCTTTACAAGGAAAGCAATTGCATTTTCTGAAAGTGCATAGTTGTTGCAACTATTCTCTCTCTCTTTCACTCTTTATCACTGCCGCTCTCTCACTCTCTCTCTACCCCATTGTCTCTTTTACTCTCTCCTTCTCTTTCTCTCTTTTCTCTCTCTCTCTCTCTTTTGAATTTTTCTCTCCACTTCATGTGATCTCGAAATTGTGTCCACTTCTGCCCTGGTCTCTCTACACGACAGCTGCTGAATGAGCGCCTGTCCTTCCATTCGGAGCACATGAAACAACTGCAGGCGGAGAACATGCGACTCAAGATGCAGATCGAGGCGATGGACGGCGTCATCAAACGTGAGTCGACCAACATCAGAGTGCTGCACGGGGAGGAGATCAAGGCCTTACAGAATCTGCTGGACAGGTGTATCGAGGTGGGGCGTCAGCCGTGGGTCTATCAGTGGGGCGTCAGCCGTGGGTCTATCAGTGGGGCGTCAGCCGTGTGTCTATCAGTGGGGCGTCAGCCGTGTGTCTATCAGTGGGGCGTCAGCCGTGTGTCTATCAGTGGGGCGTCAGCCATGGGCCTACCAGTGGGGCGCCAGCCGTGGGTCTGTGTGTTATGACGTCAGGTGTGAAATTTTTAATGTAACATAAAAAAGGGGGGGGGGATTATTTAATGAAAAAGCTTTGTTCCTACTTTAGGATCAAGGTTAATTATACATGTTTACGTTTCATTGAATTAGGCGTTTGGCCGACACTTTGTTTGTTCGTGTGTAATTTTTTTTACAACTATCTCATTTACTGTGAGCTGCATTAAGGTATTTTTTATACACCTAGTTCACAATCTCAAATATATCCTTTCCTACTCCTCTTTATCCTTCCCTACTTCTCTCTATCCTTCCCTACTCCCTTCCCTGATTCACTTTGCCTCTATATTAATACTATAATTCAATACACCCCTTTATCACTCCCTACGGCTCTCTATCACTCCCTACGCCTATTTATCATCCCATACGCCTCTCTATCACTCCCTACGCCTCTATCATTCACTACGCTTCTCTTTTATTCCCTACGCCTCAATTATCATTTCCAATGCCTCTCTATTACTCCATACACCTGTCTTACGCATCTCTATCACTCACTACTACTCTCTATCACTCACTACTACTCTCTAATCACTCACTACGCGTCTCTATCACTCACTACTACTCTATATCATTACTTTCGTCCCCTAAAATGAGTAAGAATGTACAGTTGACTGTTTTGATAGGAAAAATGCCAAGTTGACATGGAATGTGGCAAGTTCAAAGCGGAAGTGGCCAGTCTTCAACAACAATTAAAAAACAGAGACGTTGATATGACGTCAATACAGAAACGTCTCGAGGCCTACCAGACGATGTCGAGGTCACATACTGAGCTCAAGGTAATGACACGTGTCCCCCCATTCTTACTCCTAAAACATATTTGGCGTTATACACTAGTCTAAAACATATTTGGCTTTATACACTAGTCTCAAACATATTTGGCTTTATGAACTTGTCTCAATTCCTCTACTGGTGTTTGCAAAATAATCTAGAAAGCCCTACCCTGTTCCTGTACTTATTTGTCGTGGGCTGCCTTAGGGGTGCTTGGTGGTACTGTGATAAACTGGTTGCAGTACTGTAAGAGCGGTATGTGGTACTGTCTGAGCGGTTTGTAGTACATTATGAGCGGGTTTGTGGTAGAGTATGAGTGGTTTACGTGGTTTGTGGTACCGTATATGTGGTTGGTGGTACCGAGTGAGTGGATTGTGGTACCACATAAAAGAGGGGTAACGTTGCCTCTGCGAGTTACTCTATGATAAACCGTGACTGCCGCTTCCTAGTTTTGTAGTAGCTGTATGATTGCGATGTGAATGTTTTAATCGAAAGCCTTATGATGACTCTCGCATGTTATTGACAGACATGTGATGTCTTTTACGCGCATCTGTTGTCCCATGATGGCAAGTGGGTCTCAGATTCCATCCATTTATAATACTGGCACGTTTGATGTTTCACGTCTCTCCATGATGTGTTCCACTTACGTTTGATGTTTCACGTCTCTCCATGATGTGTTCCACTTACGTTTGATGTTTCACGTCTCTCCATGATGTGTTCCACTTACGTTTGATGTTTCACGTCTCTCCATGATGTGTTCCACTTAAGTTTGATGTTTCACGTCTCGCCATGATGTGTTCCACTTACGTTTGATGTTTCACGTCTCTCCATGATGTGTTCCACTTGTCTCAACAGTCTCAGTTTGACGCTGTCAGGGCGGCTCTCAAAGGAAGTGAGGAGAACGCCAGGCGATTGGAGGACGAGTTGTTGAAGGAGAGAAGGACAAACATGAGACTCGTGGAGGAGTCGACATACAACAAGGACAGATATTTGAAGGAGGTGGAGGAAGCTAGTGGGAGGTAGGCTGTAGTAGGGGGGACGGGTGGGAGGTAGGTTGTAGTAAGGGAGAAGAGTGGGAGGTAGGCTGTAGTAAGGGAGATAAGTGGGAGGTAGGCTGTTGTAAGAGAGATAAGTGGGAGGTAGGCTGTAGTAAGAGAGATAAGTGGGAGGTAGGCTGTAGTAAGGGAGACAAGTGGTAGGTAGGCTGTCACCCCTGGTGGATGAGACTCGTTAACCTTGGTCGGCAACTCATCTAAGAGAAGGAAACTCTGAATTCAAACCCGGAGCTGGATTCCCGTAAGGCGCAAACAATGACAATTCCTGCAACCGAACCCATCCCTGGTCGTCTTGACATAGAGTCTTGCCACTGGATATGGTGGGCCCGGACGAGAGAGTGAGGTTGACGCCGCGCAACTCTTCCTCACTTTTAGCAAAAAGTCACCCGCGCAAGTCACCAGTCACCGGACGACTCGATGGTCATCGTCGATCTTCGACGGACGAACAATATATAAAATATTAGATAGGCTGTAGTAGGGAAGGTCAATTGGAGGTAAGATGTAATAGGTGAGATTAGTGGGGGGGGGGTGGTATTTTGTAGTAGGGGAGACAAGTGGGAGGTAGGCTGTTGTAGGGGAGACAAGTGGGAGGTAGGCTGTTGTAGGGGAGACAAGTGGGAGGTAGGCTGTAGTATATGAGACAAAGGGAGGTTAGGTTGTAGTGGGCGGTAGGCTATAGCAGGGGAGAATAGTGTTAGGTAGGCTGTAGTAGGGGAGGTATGTCGGGGAGAGGAAGATCAATGCCTCTTATGTTGGTTAAATCATTATATAGTCTGTAGTTTATCAGAAGTGAGTTTTAAATGACGCCCTGGCTAACATAAACAATTTAGTGTATAGTGAATGTAGTTACAGATTTAAAGTGTTAAACTAGCTATTTTGAAAGAACTTCCGCAGGATGTTGATAAACGAATGTTTACATTTGAGTTTTAGATTCTCACAACATGTGTATGTTTACATTTGAGTTTTAGATTCTCACAACATGTGTATGTTTACATTTGAGTTTTAGATTCTCACAACATGTGTATGTTTACATTTGAGTTTTAGATTCTCACAACATATGCAGAAAGCTGACGAAAGACTGGAAGAAGGCTATGAAACATTTGTGGCAGAAGAATTGGCCAGCGTCAGGGAACAGCACATCAGAGAATTGAACATGTTGAGGGAAGAGCTGACCACAACTTATCAGGTAATAGTTGAGAGAAGAACTGACCACCACATTTCAGTTAATAGATGACAGAAGGACTGGCCACCGCATATCAGCTAAAAATTGAAACAGACCACAACAAAGAAGGTATTAGTTTAAAGAAGAAATGACTCCTTCATGAATAGTCATATCCCCAACCACAACATTAAATACAGACTACCCTGGCTAGGTACCATCAAACACCCCACATGTGAGCAGCGTACCATCAAAAACCCCACAGGTGTGCAGGGTACCATAAAATACCCCACAGGTGTGCAGGGTACCATAAAATACCCCACAGGTGTGCAGGGTACCATAAAATACCCCACAGGTGTGCATGGTACCATAAAATACCCCACAGGTGTGCAGGGTACCATAAAATACCCCACAGGTGTGCAGGGTACCATAAAATACCCCACAGGTGTGCAGGGTACCATCAAACACCCCACAGGTGTGCAGGGTACCATCAAACACCCCACAGGTGTGCAGGGTGCCTTCTAACACCCACAGGTGTGCGGGGTACCATCAAACACCCCACAGGTGTGCTGGGTACCATCAAACACACCACAGGTGTGCGAGGTACCATCAAACACCCCACAGGTGTGCCGGGTACCATCAAACACCCCACAGGTGTGCCGGGTACCATCAAACACACCACAGGTGTGCGAGGTACCATCAAACACCCCACAGGTGTTCGGGGTACCATCAAACACCCCCCCCCAGGTGCGCAGGGTGCCTTCTAACACCCCCACAATTGCCTAGGGGACGATCAAAAACTACTAAAGGTATGAATAATCCAGAAAAGCTGGGAAACCTAATCGTAAGGGATTCAGAAAAGAGCAAAGGTTGAGAAGCCCTGAACTCTAGTCTAGAGATGGAATATCCAACTCCAACAAAGATCATGGGCATCGACCTGCCCTAGCAACCAAAACAAAGCCTTTCACTTCTGGTGTGATGATAGATTACATTCGAAACGATCTTTATTCTAGCACAAAATAGTTGAGTGGAAGACTAAGTGTGAAACAGCACAGGCTGACCTGATTGTCTTCAAGCGAGAAACGAAGACCTCCAGACTAGGACACGATCAATTAAAGGACGCCATCACACAGCTGAAGGCCGACAAGGCGTCTTTAGAGGTACGGGGTCTTTGAGTGGGTCTGATGTATAGGGTCTTTGGAGGGTCTGGTGTATAGGGTTCTGGGGGGTATGTGGTATATGGTATTTTGTGGGGTCTGAGGAGTCTTTGAGGGGTCTATGGGGTTTGTAATCTTAAGGGGTCCAGAAACAGGGTATGTATACCTTAGGGACCTCTTTACATGCTCTATATATTTAAGGGGGGTCTGAGGTACAGTGTTTGACTGAAGGGATCTGGGGTAAAGAGTTTCTCTAAAGGGATCTGGGGTACATTGTTTGTCTAAAGGGATCTGGGGTACAGTTTAAAGAGATCTGGGGTACAGTTTTTGTCTCCAAGGGCTCTGGGGTACAGTTTTTGTCTCCAAGGGCTCTGGGGTACATTTTGTCTCCAAGGGCTCTGGGGTACAGTTTTTGTCTCCAAGGGCTCTGGGGTACAGTTTTTGTCTCCAAGAGCTCTGGGGTATAAGGTTTGTCTCCAAGGGCTCTGGGGTACAGTTTTTATCTCCAAGGGCTCTGGGGTATAAGGTTTGTCTCCAAGGGCTCTGTGGTACAGTGTTTGTCTCCAAGGGCCTTGGGGTATAAGGTTTGTCTCCAAGGGCTCTGGGGTACAGTGTTTGTCTCCAAGGGCTCTGGGGTATAAGGTTTGTCTCCAAGGGCTCTGGGGTACAGTTTTTGTCTCCAAGGGCTCTGGGGTAGAAGGTTTGTCTCCAAGGGCTCTGGGGTACAGGTTTTGTCTCCAAGGGCTCTGGGGTACAGTTTTTGTCTCCAAGGGCTCTGGGGTAGAGGGTTTGTCTCACTCCAAGGGCTCTGGGGTACAGTGTTTGTCTCCAAGGGCTCTGGGGTACAGTTTTTGTCTCCAAGGGCTCTGGGGTATAAGGTTTGTCTCCAAGGGCTCTGGGGTACAGTTTTTGTCTCCAAGGGCTCTGGGGTAGAAGGTTTGTCTCCAAGGGCTCTGGGGTACAGTTTTTGTCTCCAAGGGCTCTGAGGTACAGTTTTTGTCTCCAAGGGCTCTGGGGTAGAAGGTTTGTCTCCAAGGGCTCTGGGGTACAGTTTTTGTCTCCAAGGGCTCTGGGGTAGAAGGTTTGTCTCCAAGGGCTCTGGGGTACAGTTTTTGTCTCCAAGGGCTCTGGGGTACAGTTTTTGTCTCCAAGGGCTCTGGGGTAGAAGGTTTGTCTCCAAGGGCTCTGGGGTACAGTTTTTGTCTCCAAGGGCTCTGGGGTAGACGGTTTGTCTCCAAGGGCTCTGGGGTACAGGTTTTGTCTCCAAGGGCTCTGGGGTAGAGGGTTTGTCTCCAAGGGCTCTGGGGTACAGGTTTTGTCTCCAAGGGCTCTGGGGTAGAAGGTTTGTCTCCAAGGGCTCTGGGGTACAGTTTTTGTCTCCAAGGGCTCTGGGGTACAGTTTTTGTCTCCAATGGTTCTGGGGTAGAAGGTTTGTCTCCAAGGGCTCTGGGGTACAGTTTTTGTCTCCAAGGGCTCTGGGGTAGAAGCTTTGTCTCCAAGGGCTCTGGGGTAGAAGGTTTGCATTTCTGGGAAAGGCTGAGTGATTTGTTTCTTATATCTGAGGGTTCTCATAACTTGGAGCTCTGTTAATCGGAGTGTATTTGATAATGGGATATGTATATTCTACGCTAGCCGTCAACTTTAAACATTTCATTTCGCAATTGGTAGCTCCAGCGCCCCCTTTGGTAGTTACAGTGATCCCTATGGAAATTCCAGCGCTCATAAGGTAGTCCCAGCGCCCCTATGGCAGTCCCAGCGCCCCTATGGTAGTCCCGGCGCCCCATTGTAGTCCCAGCGTCCCATGGTAGTCCCCGTGCCCCTGTGGTAGTCCCAGCGCCCCTCTGGTAGTCCCAGCGCCCCTATGGTAGTCCCAGCGCTCCTATGGTAGTCCCAGCGCCCCTATGGTAGTCCCAGCGCCCCTATGGTAGTCCCAACGCTCCTATGGTAGTCCAAGCGCCCCTATGATAGTCCAGCACTCTCTATGGTACTTCCAGAAGCCCCCCATCCCTAAAATCTGCTGAACATATCGTCATCTCCATTTTGAGAACCACTGTTCTAATACGTTATTTAAAAAATCTTATTTAAATGGAAGCCAAAAACTCCTTTCAAATCTTTTGTTTCAAAATGAGCATCTTAATAGAACAACACTTCTCTTAGATCTCCATGATGTCGATTGAACAACACTTCTCTTAGATCTCCATGATGTCGATAGAACAACACATCTCTTAGATCACCATGATGATCATAGACAAGCACATTTCTTAAATACCCATGGTGTCAATTGAATAAAACCTCTCTTACATCTCCACAATGTCGATAGACCAAAGCCTTTTCAGGGTGCTTACAATGTATTCCCTGATATTTCGTTATGAATGGATGAGATACAGTAATAAATCGTTGAAAGTGAAATCGTTAGCTGTGACGTAAAGATAGTCATTTAAGGATTCATTATCTTTTCTTTTGAGCGGACATTAAAAATGTTAACTCCACATCTGCGTGTTGCAGGTCCAGCTGCAAGAGTGCCGAGACAGGCTAGAAGAGCTAAAGGAGTCGTCCGAACGTGAAAGATGCCAGGCTCAGAGGGAGGTCGCTCTGCTGGCGCAGGAGCTGTCAGAAGTAAAGGACGAGTTGGACGAAATAAGCGGAGCCAACACAAGACTGGAGAGTGAGATTAACGCCTACAGACATATAGTGGATGGCCTAGAGGAACAGGTTAGTGGATGGCCTAGAGGAACAGGTTAGTGGACGGCCTAGAGGAACAGGTTAGTGGACGGCCTAGAGGAACAGGTTAGTGGACGGCCTAGAGGAACAGGTTAGTGGACGGCCTAGAGGAACAGGTTAGTGGATGGCCTAGAGGAACAGGTTAGTGGACGGCCTAGAGGAACAGGTTAGTGGATGGCCTAGAGGAACAGGTTAGTGGATGGCCTAGAGGAACAGGTTAGTGGATGGCCTAGAGGAACAGGTTAGTGGATGGCCTAGAGGAACAGGTTAGTGGACGACCTAGAGGAACAGGTTAGTGGACGACCTAGAGGAACAGGTTAGTGGACGACCTAGAGGAACAGGTTAGTGGACGACCTAGAGGAACAGGTTAGTGGACGACCTAGAGGAACAGGTTAGTGGACGGCCTAGAGGAACAGGTTAGTGGACGACCTAGAGGAACAGGTTAGTGGACGACCTAGAGGAACAGGTTAGTGGACGACCTAGAGGAACAGGTTAGTGGACGACCTAGAGGAACAGGTTAGTGGACAACCTAGAGGAACAGGTTAGTGGACAACCTAGAGGAACAGGTTAGTGAATGACTTAGAGGAACAGGTTAGTGGATGACTTAGAGGAACAGGTTAGTGGACGACCTAGAGGAACAGGTTAGTGAGAGTGGATACAATCACGTGACTCGTATAGACTACGTAACTTCTCAATTTAGATAAATAGTAACGATATGCCACATTATAATCTACGTTTAGTAATTTAATGCCACATTATAATCTATGTTTAGTAATTTAATGCCACATTATAATCTACGTTTAGTAATTTAATGCCACATTATAATCTACGTTTAGTAATTTAATGCCACATTATAATCTACGTTTAGTAATTTAATGCCACATTATAATCTACGTTTAGTAATTTAATGCCACATTATAATCTACGTTTAGTAATTTAATGCCACATTATAATCTACGTTTAGTAATTTAATGCCACATTATGATCTACGTTTAGTAATTTAATGCCACATTATAATCTACGTATAGGAATTTAATGCTACATTCTATGTACTTATAATAATTGAATTATACATTCTTTCTACGTATAGGAATTTAATGCTACATTCTATCACCGTAAAGTAATTTATGCTACATTTATGTACGTATAGTATTTAATTTTACATTCTGTCGACGTAAATTAATTTAATGCATAGTACTAATACTACATTCTATCTATTTATTATAATTGTATATTTCTTAAATAAGCATTTGAATATTAAAGGTGTGTAACACATCTACTCTGACATGGCGTGGGATCTTATTTCTTATGCTGTGGGTTATGTCAGTAGTATGGTTACTTATGTTATGTTAACACTTCAGGATGCCGACTAAGACTTCTTCATTCTTCCACTTGTTATCCAGGCACGCAAAGAAGAATGCTCAATTCTGGTTAAACCTTACAGTACTTTATTGAACACACTTTATACTGATAATATTAATAATAATCCTTGCATGAATGTAATTTCACATGTATATATATAGTATTCCATCATTAAGAAAGACACGTCCTCACACTTCTACAACTCAGCTCAACTGTCTAATCACACAGCTCTCCTATCTCTACTGTTCTCTACTGCTCTGCGCTCAGCTCCCTCTATATCAGTCAACTAGAGACCGACCGAAAGTGATTTTCTGATTTCACCCGAAGCCGAAAATAGGCCGAAAGTTTAAAATGACTTACGGCCGAAACCGAAAAAAGGCCGAAATTTTAAAAATGACTTTCGGCCGAAACCGAAAAAAGGCCGAAGATTAAAAATGAATTTTGGCCGAAACCGAAGCCGAAACCGAAAATGAAATATTAAGATATTTTGAAATTCGTTCCCGCATACATTCTGCATACATCGAAAATGATGTGGGAAAGTATAAATATTTACATTCTTTTATAAAAAAAATGAGATAATCGTAAATATTAATAAATAAACATCTAATATAGGGGTCTCAAACTCGCGGCCCGCGAGCCATATGTGACCCGCAAGACTATATTTTGCGGCCCGCAGAAAAGTTTAGTGTAAATGCGCCGGCCCGTTTCCCCCATTCTCATATCTATAACGTGACTCTCCGCGACGGTTTCAGTCGAATATCACCGACTAGTCTAATTCTGACTTTAAAAAAAAAAATATTTCTACATATTTTTGTATGCCAGGTCTCTGGCAACAGTGAGTAGTTCTTGAGAACCCTTAATGATTTTATTGTTATTTATAAAGGTTGAGCAGATTGTAACAATTGTAATCGCTTTTTTGTGGATAACTTGATGCGGCCCACTCTCATTCAGACACTACCTCCTGCCCCCCCCCAGTTTTGCTTAATATTATTTTTTTAAACAGGTCCTCTAAAAAATGTGGTTCTAAAAGATCGCTTAATTTGTTTTTAAAGATCGTTTAGTTGGTTGTTATTGATCGTTTAGTTTGTTGTTAAAGATCGGTGAGTTTGTTGATAAAGATCACTTAGTTTGTTTTTAAAGATCGTTTAGTTTGTTGTTAAAGATCGTTTAGTTTGTTGTTAAAGATCGTTTAGTCTATTGTTAAAGATCATTTAGTTTGTTGTTAAAGATCGTTTAGTTTGTTGTTAAATGTCGTTTAGTTTGTTGTTAAAGATCGTTTAGTTTGTTGTTAAAGATCGTTTAGTATGTTTTTGTAAAGATCGTTTAGTTTGTTGTTGTAAAGATCGTTTAGTTTGTTGTTAAAGATCGTTTAGTTTATTGTTAAAGATCGTTTAGTTTATTGTTAAAGATCGTTTAGTTTGTTGTTAAAGATCGCTTAATTTGTTGTCAAAGATCAGTTAGTTTGTTCTTAAAGATCGCTTAGTTTGTTGTTAAAGATTCTCCAGTTTTTGTTAATGATCGTTTCATTTGTTGTTAAAGATCGTTTAGTTTGTTCATAAAGATCGCCTGGTTTGTTGTTAAAGATTGCTTAGTTTGTTCATAAAGATCGCCTGGTTTGTTGTTAAAGATCGCTTAGTTTGTTCTTAAAGATGTCCAGTTTTGTTAATGATCGTTTCATTTGTTCTTAAAGATCGCTTAGTTTGTTGTTGTAAAGATCGTTTAGTTTGTTGTTAAAGATCGTTTAGTTTGTTATTAAAGATCGTTTAGTTTGTTGTTAAAGATCGTTTAGTTTGTTTTTGTAAAGATCGTTTAGTTTGTTGTTAAAGATCGTTTAGTTTGTTGTTAAAGATCGTTTAGTTTGTTGTTAAAGATCGTTTAGTTTATTGTTAAAGATCGTTTAGTTTGTTGTTAAAGATCGCTAAGTTTGTAGTCAAGGATCGGTTAGTTTGTTCTTAAAGATCGCTTAGTTTTTTTTTAAAGATCGTTTAGTTTGTTCTTAAATGTCCCTTAGTTTGTTGTTAAATATCGTTTAGTTTGTTTTCAAAGATCGCTTAATTTGTTCTTAAATGTCCCTAAGTTTGTTGTTAAATATCGCTTTCGCTGAGTATGACCGAAAACCTGAGTCACTTTCGGCCGGATGGCCGAAAGTCTAAGTCAATTTCGGCCGAAACCGAAGAAAAACCGAAAGTTAACTTTTCTCTTTCGGCCGAAACCGAAATTAAGCCGAAATTTAACTTTTCAGTTTCGGCCGAAACCGAAACTTGGCCGAAAGTGATAAAATGGCCACTTTCGGCGCCGAAACCGAAGCCGAAGCCGAAATTCGGTCGGTCTCTACAGTCAACTCATACTTTATTACCAGCAAAGCGTGGAAAACAACCGCTCTGACAAAAACATAATTTTACTCTCCAAAAACGTGGAGTTCACATTTGCATCTCAAAATAGAATCCATTGATTGTAAAAATTAAACTATTCCAATATTTTATAAAGTATCTACGTTAAGCTATTTAATCCTAAATTCAGTCTACGAATAGTAATTTATTAATAGCTGTTTTTTTGAAAATTTAAAGGTGTGAAAATGAACCATTTCAATTATTTATAATTGCTCCTGACTACAAAGTCAGTCTGTCACAGTCTCCTTATGATAACAGTCAGTCTGTCACAATCTCTTTATGGCAACAAAGTCAATCTGTCAGTCTCCTTATGACAACAAAGTCAATCTGTCACAGGCTCTTTGTGACAACAAAGTAAAACTGTAATAGTTTCCTTATGAACAAAGTCAATTTGCCACAGTCTCCTTATGACAACAAAGTAAATCTGCCACAGTCTCCTTATGACAACAAAGTCAATCTGCCACAGTCTCCTTATGACAACAAAGTCAATCTGCCACAGTCTCCTTATGACAACAAAGTCAATCTGCCACAGTCTTCTTAAAAACAAAAAAAATTAATCTTAACAAAAATGCCCGACGATTTTAACTGACTTTGCAAATTGGCGTGTGTACACATCATAACATGTGCACCCATCATAACATGTTAACCCATCATAACATGTGCACCCATCATAACATGTTAACCCATCATAACATGTGCATCCATCGTAGCATGTGCACCCATCAAAACATGTGCACCCATCATAACATGTGCACCCATCATAACATGTTAACCCATCATAACATGTGCACCCATCATAACATGTTAATCCATCATAACATGTGCACCCATCATAACATGTGCACCCATCATAACATGTGCACACATAATACATGTGCACCCATCATAACACGTGCACCCATCATAACATTTTAACCCATCATAACATGTGCATCCATCATAGCATGTGCACCCATCATACATGTTAACCCATCATAACATGTGCACCCATCATAATATGTTAACCCATCATAATATGTTAACCCATCATAACATGTGCATCCATCGTAGCATGTGCACCCATCATAACATGTGCACCCATCATAACATGTTAACCCATCATAACATGTGCACCCATCATAACATGTTAATCCATCATAACATGTGCACCCATCATAACATGTGCACCCATCATAACATGTGCACCCATCATAACATGTGCACTCATCATAACACGTGCACCCATCATAAAACGTGCACCCATCATAACATTTTAACCCATCATAACATGTGCATCCATCATAGCATGTGCACCCATCATAACATGTGCAGACCATCATAACATGTGCACACATGAAACATGTGCACCCATCATAACACGTGCACCCATCATAACATGTTAACCCATCCTAATATGTGCACCCATTATAACATGTGCAGCCATCATAACATGCTAACTCATCATAACATGTGAACCCATCATAGCATGTGCACCCATCATAACATGTGCACCCATCATAACACGTGCACCCATCATAACATGTGCACCCATCATAACATGTGCACCCATCATAGCATGTGTACCCATCCTAACATGTGAACATTACGGTTCAACGTGATGGCCGGAGAGATCGGTTCCCGGAAATTTGTGCGAAATGAATTTGTTAGAAGGAATATTGCTCGACGAATTTGTGTTCGACGTTTTTAAAAAAATGGAAATAATTAAAATTAAAATACAACTTATTTCAAACTTTCTCTTCCATCAAGAAAGAACACTACGTTGAGATAATTTATTGTCGAAATAAATTGCTATCAAAATTTTTTTTTTACAAAGACATTGTCGTTGTAACAAATTCCCGTCGTACAATTTAGCTTCAGACAAATTCGTTTCGTACACATTTCCGGATATGTTTGTGGTTGACCTCACAAACCAAATCCAGACATGATGGTGAAACTCAGATGGAACAACATCATTACAAAATGGGTGCCCGCAGGTAGGGGCAAAGGGGGAACTTGCCCCCCCTGGATTGATTGGATAAAAAATTTTTAGTCAAAAATAGACAAAAAAAATTATTAAAGTAAAGAGAAATTAAAGAGAAAGTAACGAAGCTGATGTCCTGTCCGTAACCATACAAATACGCTACAGTAAATTAAAACTATATTAAAACATTACTAAAAAATGTTTGCCCCCTCCTGGGAAGTTAATCGATTTTTTTTTGCCCCCCCCCCCTTAGAAAGTTTTCTGCGAGCGCCCATGATTACAAGTAACATTAACATCGTGACGTCAAACTGAAGCCAAGAGACAAGATAGCGTCTGTTCTTGTTGATTATTGACTTTTGAAGACTGTAGGTCAAGGCCATTACTCATGTGTGATTTACCTTTCTTCAAATAGTGCATTGTATTGTTATTGCTGCTGTCTTGGGCTGTTAAAACAGCATTTACCGTCAATACAGCCTAACCGTCAATACAGCATTTACTGCCAATGCAGCAATTTCCTGTCAATACAGCAACCTAAACGTTTGGTTGACAACGGGAGTTATTTATTCCATTTAGAAATAAGTCCAGACTTTCTAGATGCACGGTACTTACGTCAGCCTTGTTTCTTACAGGCACCGCCCAAACACCGGCCATCACACAAGACATCAAGGTCACAGGGGGAGCTGGAAGAGAAACCAACAAGGGAGATCAATGAGAGGACAAAACGGTGGGTGGACGACAAAATGAGCTGGTCCGGTCTGCCGACGGAACTGGCGTTCGTGGGGGTTTGTCCCACAGGGACGTACGGCTGGACAACCAACAAATCAGTGTCTTAACATTAGTCTGGGAACGGGCCGCAATGTCAATGTTCTAACAAACATCCACTTTGTACTTACAGACATCCACTATGTAATTCTAAAGCACATGTTAGTTTGCCTTCTGCGAAAGTGAGAATGTTGACCGGGTGGGTTGGGGGGGGGGGTTAGGGGGTGTTGCAATCATACAACAATATCAAAATAAATAGTTGTCAAATATTTACGAATAAATTTAACGTTTACTGCTAAAAACTAAACACACAACTCGGCGTACGAAACAAACAACAAACAAACAAAGTGAATAATCATGATACCATTTTTGTTCGTGTTCTACCTATAGAACTAATGAGTTCAATCAAGGGATAGGGGTCCTAGATGTTGACCCTGACGGAAAATATGTCACACTGGTCAACAATACTGACCATCCCATTGATCTGTGTCTTTGGAGTGTCCAGCAGGCCAATGGAGCTGGACAGACCGTAAGTAGAGTTCTTATAATAGGATTAGGGAGCTGTACTAAGGGGAGCTTGACTAAAGGGAGCTAGACTAAGGGGACCTGGACTAAGGGGAGCTGGACTAAGGGGACCTGGACTAAGGGGAGCTAGACTAAGGGGACCTGGGCTAAGGGGAGCTGGACTAAGGGGAGCTCGACTAAGGGGAGCTGGACTAAGGGGAGCTGGACTAAGGGGAGCTGGACTAAGGGGAGCTGGACTAAGGGGAGCTGGACTAAGGGGAGCTGGACTAAGGGGAGCTGGACTAAGGGGAGCTGGACTAAGGGGAGCTGGACTAAGGGGAGCTCGACTAAGGGGAGCTGGACTAAGGGGAGCTGGACTAAGGGGAGCTGGACTAAGGGGAGCTGTAACAACAAAATGCCCACAATAATGTCCGCCGTAATAGGTGTTGGAAAAGCCCACCAATTTATAAGTTCACCAATTTATAAGTCCACCAATTTATAAGTCCACCAATTTATAAGCCCACCAATTTATAAGCGCACCAATTTATAAGTCCACCAATTTATAAGTCCACCAATTTATAAGCCCACCAATTTATAAGTCCACCAATTTATAAGTCCAGCTATTTGTAAGTCCACCAATTTATAGTCCACCAATTTATAAGCCCACCAATTTATAAGTCCAACAATGTATAAGTCCACCAATTTATAAGTCCACCAATTTATAACCCCACCATTTTATAAGTCCACCATTTTATAAGTAAGTCCACCAACTTCAGCGATCACTACTTAACTTGTTATTCACCTGCAGTAAAGTTCTCACCTGGATTACCTGTAGGAATGTCCTGGGTAACATGTAGGTATATTCTCGCATGGCTAACACCTGTGGCTATGTTCTGATCTCGGTAACCTGTTGGACTGCTCTCGCCTGTGTACCTGTAGCTATATTCTCATCTCGGTAACCTGTTGGACTGCTCCCACCTGTGTACCTGTAGCTATGTTCTCATCTCCGTGACCTGTTGGACTGCTCCCACATGTGTACCTGTAGCTATGTTCTCATCTCGGTAACCTGTTGGACTGCTCCCACCTGTGTAACTGTAGCTATGTTCTCATCAGTAACCTGTTGGACTGCATTCACCTGTGTACCTGTAGCTATGTTCTCACCTCGGTAACCTGTTGGACTGCTTTCACCTGTGTACCTGTAGCTATGTTCTCACCTTGGTAACCTGTTGGACTGCTCTCACCTGTGTACCTGTGACTTTGTTCTTACCTCGGTAACCTATCGGACTGCTCTCACCTGTGTACCTGTATGAATATTCTCACCTTGGTAACCTGTTGGACTGCTCTCACCCCGCAGGTCAAATATGAGATCAAGAGCAAACAACTCCTGGATCCCGGGGTCAAGCTGACACTGTGGAGCAGTGACGTCGGACATCACGTGACGGGCATGGATGACGGTGACTCCGGCAGTGACGTCAAGTCGGACGTAGATATTTCTGACAAGGGATACAGCAATCTGCACGTGACGATGTTGGAGACTTGTTGGCTGAAGCTAGACACGCTTATAGCTGTGAGAGTAGAGGACGGAGACGGGCAACTACAAGTAGGTGGATCCAGCGTGTGGGAAGGGGGTGGGGTAAAGCGGCACCTAAAGTGTAGGGTGGGGATGGAGGTGGGTCGGCAAGCTACAAGTAGGTGGATCCAGCGTGTGCGAAGGGGGTGGGGTAAAGCGGCACCCCAAGTGTAGGATGGGGGTGGAGTTGGAGCAGCAAGCTACAAGTAGGTCTATCCCAAGTATAGGAAGAGGGTGGCTTTGGAGGAGGTTTATCCCAATTTTAGACAGGGATTTCGGCCTAGGAGGGAAGTTGAAGACGGCCAGTATGTTGATTCTACAAGTCTTGTAAGTAGAAGTGATGCTGGCTAGTATCAGGTATTGGAGCTCTTGAGAGAATTTTGGCACATTCTACACATTGCCCTTTATTTTGACACGGCTTTTAGACGTTTGGGAGAGAATACAGAAAGCGAGTAAAAGAAAAGCAACAGGCATGTGTTTAACAGACATGCATTTAACAGACATGCATTTTAACAGACATGCATTTTAACAGACATGCATTTAACAGACATGCATTTTAACAGACATGAATTTTAACAGATATGCATTTTAACAGACATGCATTTAACAGACATGCATTTTAACAGACATGCATTTAACAGACATGCATTTTAACAGACATGCATTTAACAGACATGCATTTTAACAGACATGCATTTAACAGACATGCATTTTAACAGACATGCATTTTAACAGACATGCATTTAACAGACATGCATTTTAACAGACATGCATTTTAACAGACATGCATTTTAACAGACATGCATTTAACGGACATGCATTTTAACAGACATGAATTTTAACAGATATGTATTTAACAGACATGTATTTAACAGCCTTGCATTTTAACAGACATGCATTAACAGACATGCATTTTTAACAGGCATAAATTTTACAGACATGCATTTTACAGGCAAGCATTTAACAGACATGCATTTAAGAGACACTAATTTAACAGACATGTATTTTAACACACACGCATTTAACAGAATTCCATTTAATAGACATGCATTTAACAGGCACGCAATTAACAGACTCGCATTTCTAAGGTATTTATCGAAGGGCTGCATTTGAGAGATAGTTGTTTTTATTGACACTGGGATGACACTTCAAATGTGTCTGTGAAAGTTAGCAAAACTAACGCAGACACACACTACACACACACACACACACACGCACACACACACACACACACACACACACACACACACACACACAGGATATATATATATATATATATATATATATATATTAAGATCGATTATGTCTGTGAAAGATAGAAAAACACACACACACACACACACCACACACACACACACACACACACACACACACACACACACACACACACACACACACACACACAGGATATATATATATATATATATATATATATATATATTAAGTTCGATTTTGGCTGAAAACCTTCTTGGGCTAAAACGGGAGCATGCATTGAAATAGAATGACAAGACTTAGAAAATATAATGAGGAACTTGCCTGTCCAAAAATGTAACCTACGACAAGCAGACATTTAAAAAAGGAAAAGATTAGCTTTACAAGGATTGTTTAAATTCAGCCACTGTAAGCTCTGTATAGCATGAGAGCGTATAGTTTAATAATGACCTAAGGTCAGCACATCCTATGTTAATATTGAAAGGTTTACTCTCTGCCGCTGCTTGGCAAACCTGGCCAATGAGATTGGGTTCAGTGTTAGTTCTTCCGATGAGTCCGCCATTGTAGCTGAGGTCACGAATACAGCTATCTGTGATAGTTTTGATTAAAAGTTGCCCATTCTGTTGATAGTTGATAACTTTATCACTCAAGTTTATCATTTTAACGTGTCATCTTAAATCAACATTGACACGTTTCAGGCGAGATGTCAAGTCAACGCTGTCAAAGACCAAAATGTCGCCAAACTTAACCCGCCGCATGGGTACCTCAGGGGCTGGCGCACACGTTTTGAGGACCCCGCCACGTCAAGCGCCCCCACCCTCTTACCTGAGCTCCACCCCCAACCCGTCATCAGGGGCGCTGCACGTTTTCCCGGGACCGCCGTAAATCGCCGGAGAGACGGGATACAGGATAAGGATGGCTGCCGTGTCATGTGACTCGCTGAGACGGGATACAGGATAAGGATGGCTGCCTTGTCATGTGACTCGCTGAGACGGGATACAGGATAAGGATGGCTGCCTTGTCAAGTGACTCGCTGAGACGGGATACAGGATTAGGATGCCTGCCTTGTCATGTGACTCGCTGAGACGGGATGCAGGATAAGGATGGCTGCCTTGTCATGTGACTCGCTGAGACGGGATACAGGATAAGGATGGCTGCCGTGTCATGTGACTCGCTGAGACGGGATACAGGATAAAGATGGCTGCCTTGTCATGTGACTCTCTCAACTCAATTTCCAAAATTTCTTTTTTCATATACGATCAATCATGACTATCTGGCACCTGCTGATTTTGGCGTCATGGGTCGATGTCTATGGCGTCATGGGTCGAATGTGTATGGCGTCACGGAGCTATGGATTTGTTGTGTAATGTGTCCGTAAGCTAGTCTTAGGTTTCGACTGCTCGTTTATAAATGTAATATAGTCACAAGGCAAGTAACATAAAGTTGTGGTTGTGAGAAACATTGACAGGACAGCTGCTATATAATATTGGCGCACAGTTTGAGAAACATTGATAGGGCGAGTGCTTAAAAATATTGGCGCACAGTTTGAGAAGCATTGATAGAACGACTACTTTAAACCATTGAGCGCAAAGTCCGAGAAAAGCAAGGACATATCTCAGGATTGTATCATCGACATTACACAAAACACGCAGTCGACCAGGGGCGTCTACTTAGGCGTCAATAGATTGGGTCCTGGCAAAACTGGAAAATAATGAGTGTGTGGTTTCAGAGACATGATTTTGAGATTTCGAAAAAAAAAATTCTTCTTCTCAGACAGGTTCCGGAGACTCGAATGACTGAAATAAACCAACATTGGCAGCAGTGTGACATTGCAACCACTTCCATGACAAATGGTGGTAACATTCTGTGACAACAATAAACCACATGAGACATGTCACGTTTGATTTTAAATTTAAAATTAGTTGACACTGACGAAGGTGTGTGGTGGGATTTCAGGTTGGGCCTGTGGTGGGACCTATGGTGGGACCTGTGGGGGTACAATATTTGTTTACCCCATAAAGTGTATGAGACTTAGCATTGACAAATCTTCATATAATCCACCAATGACTGGTCTCTACTGATGTATAGAAGTTTGGTCTAGTGCACATTGATGTATAGAAGTTTAGTACAAAAGTTTTGGTCTAGTCTACATTGATGTACAGACGTTTTGGTCTAGTCTACATCGATGTATAGATGTTTGGTCCAGTCTACATCGATGTATAGATGTTTGGCCTAGTCTACATCGATGTATAGATGTTTGGTCAAGTCTACATCGATGTATAGATGTTTAGTCCAGTCTACATCGATGTATAGATGTTTGGCCTAGTCTACATCAATGTATAGATGTTTTTCCTAGTGTACATCGATGTATAGATGTTTGGTCCAGTCTACATCGATGTATAGATGTTTGGCCTAGTCTGCATCAATGTATAGAGTTTTGTCCTAGTCTACATCGATGTATAGATGTTTGGTCCAGTATACATAGATGAATAGAAGTTTTGGTCGAGTCTACACCGATGTATAGAAGTTTTGTACCACATGACAAGCAGAATTCTATATCTTCTCAACCGGTACATTTCCGGTCTCAAACTATCATGACGTCACCGACGCCCATGTCTCGTCTTTTGATCACTGTGTACATCAGTTGTGTACTGTTATAAATCAGATATTTTTGTGTATGTTTACGTCAGCATCTATCAAGCAATCTTGTGACAGCTGTCATCAATTTATTGACGTCGATTGTTTAAATATTAATATTTACTTACGTGTTTTATACCTATGTTCTGAACCCGTATTTTATACCCATATTTTATATCCATAACTTATACCCATATTTTATTCCCATGTTCTAAGCCCGTATTTGAGAAGGAAGAAGAATAAATGACAGCAACACATTTGATCATGTTTTAATATTAAATGATTTATTGTTATGAATTGTCTTACGGAAATAAATTGCATAACAACAACAACAAATGTATTTTAAAATATTATTCTACTATATAGTGTAAACACGACTTGTTGAATGAACGTCCATACGCCAATCACTCGGTGACTTGAAACGATCATTCATCCACTCGGTGACTTGAAACGATCATTCATCCACTCGGTGACTTGAAACGATCATTCATCCACTCGGTGACTCCACACGATCATTCATCCACTCGGTGACTCCACACGATCATTCATCCACTCGGTGACTCCACACGATCATTCATCCACTCGGTGACTCCACACGATCATTCATCCACTCGGTGACTCCACACAATCATACATCCACTGCACACTGTGGCCTGATCGTTCTCTTCAATAGATCAGATCTAAACACGAGCAAACAAATCCATTTCTGTCGTTAACATGTAAGTATACTATCTGTCATGTCATATCTTTCATGTCATGTCTGTCATGTCATATCTTTCATGTCATTTCTGTCATGTTCTATCTGTCAAGGATAGATTAGGCAGGAAAAAAATGCTTGTCCATGAGCATGTTTACATATATATCATGTGGCACTGTATTGTGTTCATCTCCACTTTTTAACACAGATCGCTGAGGTCAAAGTTCAATGCTTGTTCAGATCAAGGCGCCAGTTCGCTGGGTATTTTAAACAAAAGAGAAATTAAGTTCTGTAAACTTGTATAAGTTATAGTGAAACAGTTTCCTTGCTCGTGTATTCAACTTTAATTGAAAATGCAACATAAGGGAACATTCATGGTCCACACTAGATGGATGGCCCTTGCTGACGTCAAAAAAGTGATGCTAAGTTTCCTTAAAGAAGCACCTTTGATTTGAATGTCTTGTATTTAGACGTCGCAAGGGAAACCCCGCTTTGCAAAAGATAACGCCAGAGCAAATTGCGATGAGCAAAACATAACTTATTGGAACCTAAGGGATGGGTCACGGACACATGGCCCCAGCACTCATCAACCACTGACCACACCAAAGAAAACAACGTGTCAGTGACGGGTCCTAAGAACTGCAACTGTAAGGCTGTGAGGGTCATTGGAACAGTTACGCGAGAGCAGGGAATGCTGGCATGACCACATAAGAATCCGGGGTCTCGCCAGTACAACTGCTGGATCTGGTCATCCTATCTTACCCCAAAATGGCTTGGTCACATCATAGTTGTGATTGTTCAATGTTTTGTTTTTTAAAGTCACGTACGCATTATTTCGTCAAACAACATTGGGCGGCGACACGACCCGAGGCCGCGACCCCGCGGGCCGCCTGGGGCCGCCGTAGCATTTGATGATCATGAGCTTGGCATCTTGCCGGAAGGTTTGGTTCAAAAAGCTGTAGATCAAGGGGTTAATGGCGTTGTTGATGAAGAAAGACTTGACGCAGAGCTTGTAGGCCAGCTCCCCCACGGGGCTGAGGTTTTCCTCGAGGTCCCGGATGATGCTTCTCAGCACCATGACCGTCAGGTAGGGGAGGAAGCTCAAAATGTAGGCCAGGGTCACGGCGAACAGAACAGTGGTCGTCTTCCCCACGCGGATCTGTCTGGCCGAACTCCTCGGGGTTGTCCTCGCCTGCGTTTTTTGCCCGTCGGTCGTGTTGCCCTCGTCGTCAGTCGTGTCCACCTGGTGGTGGTTCTGCTGGAAATGGCGGTAAAAAAATCGCGTGCGGCTATTCTTCCGACTCGGGGTTCTCGTGAGGATCGCTCCACCAGCCAAAGCTATTGCAGGAATCGTACCACCGACCAGGGCGATGGCTGGACATTTCTCGGAAGCGGTTAGGCTGTGACTGATTCTGATGACGGGGCTGGGACTATTTTGCTGAACCATTTCGAGGTTTGTGATGGGCGCGGCTCCGTTGGAAGGCAGGTCCTCGGTATCACTCCCGGTATAAATATTGTTGGCTGAATCGATGCACGGCGTGGAAGCCGTCCTGCATGTTGGGTCTGGGTGGTGCCACTTCTGGGGATCTTCGAGCGGTCTCGCCTTCTTTCCGTGACGTTTTATGCTGCTGTAGCTGCCGGAGATGGTGGTGGTGGAGGTGCTGCTGCTCATAATGCTGTTGTTGCTGTTGCCACTGGCTGTAGATGCACCGCCCTGACCTTCGTCCTGCTCGGTCGACAGGTCGGAGCTTGTTGGGTCAGACACGTGAGACTGAAAAATAAACAAGGTGACCACGTCTTAAAGTTTGATATAAGAGATTGAATGCTGGAACAATTGAACAATAATTGAATGGAATGATTGAACAATAAAACAAGGATGAAAGTCTAAAATCATCCCCCCCAACCCCCAAAACAACAACAAATAAACTTAAATACCACAAAAGAAAATGGTAAGATAATGATAAAGCAATATGCGTTAGTCAGATCTGTCTCATCTTAACAGAAATGAACTCGCGAATAACACAGTTTAACTTGGCTCATATCAACCTAACACATGTCAACTAAACACATGTTAACTTAACACAGGTCAACTAAACAAAGGTCAACTAAGCACATGTCAACACAGATCAACTTAACACAGGTCAACACAACCATAACTTCCAGAAGAAATGCACCACTAAACAAAATAATTTTTTTTTTACAGCCAATTACCATCTATCTAAAATAACGGCATCCCCTGCACATAACACACGCACACACACGCACACACACACACACATTGCCCAACCCCCAAAATAGAAAATTTTCCCTGACAGTCAACACAGTTGACACACATACACAGCTGATGCACATACACAAATGACACACAACACAGTTGAAACACACATCCACAAATGACACACAACACAGTTGAAACACACATCCAGAAATGACACACAACACAGTTGACACACACACGCATACACAGAAGATGGAGGACTTCACTCACGTTTTCCTTCTTTGACCCTGACCTCAGCAGTCCCTTGCTGGACGACGTATTGGAGTTCACCGAGCCCATGTGCATGCGTTTCCTGCCCAGGATGGTCAGTCCGATCTTGGAGTAGAGCACGGCGAAGAAGATGACGGTGATGCCGAACAGCGAGAACAGGAAGACGTAGTAGATGGTCGGGTAGATGGTGCGCCGCATCGAGTCGTCGGTGGAGCAGTCCGAGCCTTTCAGAATGTTGCCGTTCAAGTTGCGGGTCACGGTTTTCCTGAGGGGGGAAAAAATCAACGTCAAAATGTATCAAACCCTTTCTTTGAAAAGCGTTCTTTAAGAATAATCTGTCTTGTGCATTTCTCTCATTTCATATGCATATTGTTTTTTTTTTGTTTTTTTTTAAATGATGGTTCTGGTTCGGGTAGGGTACGTTGCTGCATCCATGTACTGGCATGTGTGCAACGGTTGGGGAAGCGATGCGGCTATCCTAACCGCTCCTAGAGGATGCCAGGGCAGCCTTGAAACTCTCGATTGATGTCGAGTCTACGGCATAGTCATAACATAACATCTTAAATGAAGAGAATGGAAAATCTCAATAGAAGAACTTGCAAAGCTTCATTTCCCCACAGAAGTCACGAATTAAGACTGGGACATCAAAATAAAAGTCATGGGAAAGGTAATATCGGTGCGATTGCCAAAATTGAATCCGGCCTCTTCAGAGAGCAAATGCCGACCGAGGATAAAACACACAACACAAAATTAAACTACGAAATTAAACATCCAATGTTACCTTCCGAAGAGTAAGAAAGTTGGCCAAGAGCAGACCAGTCCCAGCACGACCGCACCGACACACAGGAATCTTGATTTGTTGGCTGTGAACTGTCGGCCCAGCTGGCAGATTCGGTAGTAGCGATCGAATGCAACCTGCACGTAAAAAAAATATAAAAAATAATAGTTTTAATGAGACACTTTACCTAATGAGGTGACACTTATTCTTGGCTCACATTAACATGCGAGCAAAGCTTAAGTAGAAAGAAGAAATCAGAATTCGATATTTTTTTTTTGGTCGAAGGGAAGTAAGCGGAAACTAAGGGAAGTCATCGAGTGCTTGGCACTGCAACCTTTTAAATGGACGCTTAGAAAAATAAATAATTATAGAACGATGTTTCTGATTTTGTAAATTAATTTACAGAAGCTTAAAAAGTGTGCAAACTTTAACAAAATAAAATATCACGGCAGACTATTGTCAAAGATGGTGCCGCTTGCAAAGATGGTGCTCACCTCAATGAGGATGGTACTGCTGGCGATAATGGTGCTGGAATGTGTGAACCTCAGCACCTTACAGGCCCAGGGCGACTCGAATGTGTAAGGCAGCACCAGGTCAGCTATCTCAGTCGGCATCCCTATTACGCACGTGACCAGGTCGAGGGCGGCCAGATACAAGATGAAGTAATGAGAAGACACACGTGACTTCCGGTTACAGTAGACCAGGCAGACCTTAGGATTGGTTTCAATGAAAATTATAAATAAAAGTTTTAAAAAAAAAGTGGCAAATAATAAAAGTATAAAATAATAAAAGTGTGAAATTATAAAAGAATAAAACAATAAAAGTATAAAGTAATAAAAGTATAAAATAATGAAAATTTAAAATAATAAAAGTATAAAATAATAAAAGTGTGAAATTATAAAATTATTAGATAATAATAGTGTAAAATAATAAAAGTGGCAAATAATAAAAGTGACAAATAATAAAAGTGTAAAATAATAAAAGTGGCAAATAATAAAAGTGACAAATAATAAAAGTGTAAAATAATAAAAGTGGCAAATAATAAAAGTGACAAATAATAAAAGTGGCAAATAATAAAAGTGTAAAATAATAAAAGTGGCAAATAATCAAATGGAAGTTTTTTAAATGACTTGACGTTGAAGAGGTGTTTTTAATAACCGTGATATTTTATACTTATTAATTTAAATCATAAATATCTGACCTTAGAGAAAAACACATACATTATCAATGTAGAGATTATATTTGATCACAGCTTATGTTGCTGTGTCTTATGTTGTACAAATGTGGGCTTTAACGCCCAGCTAAAGAGATAGTTAAATGTCCATGTTGTACCACTACTAGTTCTCATGAACAACTAAGAGTGCAGTTAATTGCTTGTACCCGAGCACGAAAATACCCATGCCATGGCCTATTGTACCGACTATTGGCACAGTTAACTGCTTGTACCCGAGCACTTCACTCACCGTGGCATTGCCTATTGTGCCGATGACGATAAGGACAGCCAGGAAGATGGTCACGGGCAGATACAGCCTGGCCTTGACGTCATTGAGACACATGAGACGGCCTGCTGTTGTGTTGTAGACGAGGCAGCCCAGCTCTTCAACGGTTGGTCTTCTCATGTTTGCCGCTTAACTTTTTGGGGGAAAAAAATCACTTACACACCGGTGGTCATCTTCAGATATATCCGGTGTCACAGAAAATATTGGTCCGTTTTTTTTTTTGTGTTTTTTTTTTGAATGTGTTGAAAAAGTTTAGAAATTGTAAAGATGAGAAAATCAAATCCAACAGAAGTACTTTTTTTCACCCTCGAGTTAAACAGCGCGAAGACTAAATAATGAATGAATGTAAAAATCCGATGAAATTGCCAAGAATCAGTTACAGATGTTCATTTAACGCGCGGTACTTATTGCGGGGCCACTTATATACAAGGGGAGGTCACTAAAGTGGCAGGAAATCATATAACTAAGAGTTCACGTGTCACCTGCTGACTCCGCCCTTGAGCTCGCCAACCAATGGTTAAAAGCACACACATTTTCACTTGGACACATTGGTTTTATTAGGGCTGGCAGAAATAGGGAAGAATGCATTATTTTTTTAGCTTTCTTACAGAGTATAACTGTACATGTTCACTGTGTCGAGGCAAAAGAGAAAAAGTCTCGCCTAACACATTTTTTCCCCAGGCTAATAAATAATCAGACAATAGTATAGATAATTTGCGTTTATCTTCGGTAATAAAAAAAAAGGGAAGATATCAGTGGAATGTATGCCAAAGTATGACAGTAGAAGAGTTCAAGAGATACACAGTTTTGCCGAGTCCAATGTTGGAAAAGAAATGATTAGATAAAGAATTTAATCTGTAGCCTCGACCCCAAATGCTGGGTGAATGTTGCACGCAAGGCGCTCCAACACAGCTGAGGTTGCATCACACTCTGCGTCAATCTGTCTACGTCTATTGCAATACGCCATGCAATGATGCGACCGCACATGACGGTCATTTAAACAGTTAGCCCATAACACACAAGCACACACATGACGTATTGTCCCACAAAATAAACTGATGCCATGATCCACCCCTTCCCCCTTCCTTGAACCTCCTGATTGAACGACCAATCTCTTCAACAGTTCCACAGCCGTAGACCAACCACAGGGCCCGTGGAGACTACCTTTGGTCTCCCTTGGTGGAACAAATGACTGTGAGATATTGGATGAACCATTAAAATTTGCTTTTATTTGTATGTATTTTATGCACTATTGTATGTAGGCTACTATTGTATGTACACCTGTATTTAGGCTACTATTGTATGTACTATTGTATATAGGCTATTATTGTATGTACTGCTGTATGTAGGCTACTATTGTATGTATTATTGTATGTAGGCTACTATTGTATGCACTCCTGTATTTAGGTCACTATTGTATGTACTATTGTATATAGGCTACTATAGTATGTACTCTTGTATTTAGACTACTATTGTATGTAGTGCCGTATGTAGGCTACTATTGTATGTATTATTGTATGTAGGCTACTATTGCATGTAGTACTGTATTTAGGCTACTATTGTATGTACTATTGTATATAGGCTATTATTGTATGTACTGCTGTATGTAGGCTACTATTGTATGTATTATTGTATGTAGGCTACTATTGTATGCACTCCTGTATTTGGCTACTATTGAATGTACTATTGTATATAGGCTACTATTGTATGCACTGCTGTATGTAGGCTACTATTGTATGTACTATTGTATGTAAACTACTATTGTATGTACTATTGTATGTACTATTTTATGTACAATTGTATGTAAGATTTACAAACTAGCACATAGGACAAAGTTGCTGCTCTAAGAGTATCAACCATTTCGCTTAAGCTCCCCGCGAATCGTTCTTAAGCGGTTCAAACATTCTTAATGTGACCTCTCACCTGTATGTTGTCACTAAATACCTGCAGATTGGGACCACATAACTTCATATTGCGACCTCACACCGGTATATTGTGACTACATAACTGCATACTGTGACCACATACCTGTATATTGTGACCACTCACCTTTATATTGTGACCACAAACCTCTATGTTGTGACTACATACCTGTATATTGTGACATTACGCTTGCATATTGTGGCCACATACTTTCATATTGTGACCACATACCTGTAAATTGTAACCCCATACTTTCATATAGTGACCTCACACCTGCATATTGTGACCACATACCTCTATATTGTGACACATTTTGCTCACATACCATGACCTCTACAATTTGCCTTTGAAGCGTACTCTAGCACTAGTGATTTTCTGATAGCGGTCTTACCGCAAACCTGGCAACTTGTTAACAAGCCTCATACCCCCCAAAAAGTTAACGTATAGTTGAGTTTCAGTCATGCCTAAAGACTGCAACTTAATGATAACTATTTCCCCATAATATGACATAACCTGTTCCACCAAGTGCGCCAAATCTGGCCCTTAAGCATATTTATAAATCTTTACCAAAATTTTGATATAAAAAAAAATTAAATCAACTCTGCTAAATCAAATTTGGAATAAATGATTTTAGTTACCTTCACTTATTCAAATATCGATTAAAGAGAGTCGCCCCAACCCCCAGACAAAGTGCTCCCTCCCATCCCCTCTCCTGAGGCCACCTACTTACCTCATCCTCATTAAGTACCTTCCATTGGACGCGTCGTGAGACAGAGCTGACCTTTGCCAGCACGTGCTAGCTGACATCTCCGTGGTGCTACTCTCTAACTGCTTAGCTGTGACCAGTCTATAGCTAACTGCTTATCTTGTACCACTTTCTAACTAACTGGTTATCTGGGACCACTCTTTAACAACTTCTTATCTTGGACCAGTCTTTAACTAACTGGTTATCTGGGACCACTCTTAAACAACTTCTTATCTGGGATCACTCTCAAACAAGCTGGTTATCTGGGACCACTCTTAAACAACTTATTATCTGGGAGCACTCTCTAACTAACTGGTTATCTGGGACCACTCTTTAAAAACTTCTTATCTTGGACCACTCTTTAACTAACTGGTTATATGGGACCACTCTTTAAAAACTTCTTATCTTCGACCACTCTTTAACTAACTGGTTATCTGGGACCACTCTTTAAAAACTTCTTATCTTGGACCACTCTTTAACTAACTGGTTATATGGGACCACTCTTTAAAAACTTCTTATCTTCGACCACTCTTTAACTAACTGGTTATCTGGGACCACTCTTAAACAACTTCTTATCTGGGATCACTCTCTAACTAACTGGTTATCTGGGACCACTCTTTAAAAACTTTGAGGCACTTCTTCCAAAACTGTTTCCGTTACATCCTAAATGGCCAATATACCCAACGTAGCCCGGAGTGCATTCAAGAAAAACAATAACGTTATCAGTCATGAATCAGTATTAAGCTGAAAAGACGCCTCTCGAGTTTAAGAAAAAATAAATACTTTTTTTGAGCATCGTCTAGGGGCAATTAAAGAGTTGGAAATAATACGTATGTCTGGTTAGCCCTTTTATTGTTGGATACCTGGTTTAAGCATGATAGCTGTCTTACTGTTGGAGCATTAGTTTCAGCATGAGAGATGTCTTATTGTTGGACCACTGGTTTAAGCATGAGAGCTGTCTTATTATTGGACCACTGGTTTAAGCACGACAGTTTGCACCTAACTGCAGCGTGCACCAAGCGCACTCTTGACACAGAGATCACAAACGGTGACCCACGGGCAAGGCCTGGTGTCACGCACGTCTCGGCACTTACGGGATGTGAATCATTGTGTTTAGTGGTCTCTCGTCTGAGATTCACAGACTCGACCTAATCCCCAGCAGGTGTCTGATACAGTCATCGCCTGGCTACTTATCGAACACCTGCCCGACCCCCCCCCCTCCCCCCTGCCTCCAGGCTGTGTATGGAAATATTAAAATGAAGACATTGCTCACTGAGGTGGAAATAATTTTGATGGGAAACGTATGTACATCTGCACCCTTATAGCATGGCTATATTAACACTGGCATGGCCAAATGTACACTAGCATTGCAACATTTACACTCGCATGGCTACTTTTACACTAACATCGCCACATTTACATTAACATGGGACATTTACACTAACATGGTTACTTTTACACTAGCATGACAACATATACACTAAAATATGAACATTTACACTAGCATGGCCACTTTTACACCTTCATGGCAACATTTACACTAACGTGGCAAAATGTACACTAGAATTGCGACATTTACACTCGCATGGCCATTTTACACTAATATGGAAACATTTACACTTACATGGCCTCTTAATAATAGCATGGCCACTTTTACATGAGGATGGCCAGATGAATGTGATCTAAAGAGAAAACAAAGTAAACAGATGGAGGAATGTGAACTATAAATAAGGAAAGTGAACGAGTTTTTGGGGTGTCTTTGGTGGGGGGTGGGGGTGGGGTGGTGTTGACTTTGAGCTGTAATTAGATGCTGTCTATTCAAGAATCAGAGCAAACATTCAAGCTGATGGTTAAGATAAATAGTGCAAAATGGCTTAATTTAAATAACTTCACGAGCAAACATCGCAAAGCAAAAAAAAAAAAATTGAAAAAAATTTAATAATTAAATGGTTCTAGGTAAGACGTATCGTAAATGTATCGGATCTGTGCACACTCAATGTCAACACGAGATAGATATGACTGGCGTGCACACTCGATGTCAACACGAGATAGATATGACTGACGTGCACACTCGATGTCAACACGAGATAGATATGACTGACGTGCACACTCGATGTCAACACGAGATAGATATGACTGACGTGCACACTCGATGTCAACACGAGATAGATATGACTGACGTGCACACTCAATGTCAACACGAGATAGATATGACTGGCGTGCACACTCGATGTCAACACGAGATAGATATGACTGGCGTGACCACTCGATGTCAACACGAGATAGATATGACTGGTGTGCACACTCGATGTCAACACGAGATAGATATGACTGGCGTGCACACTCGATGTCAACACGAGATAGATATGACTGACGTGCACACTCAATGTCAACACGAGATAGATATGACTGGCGTGCACACTCGATGTCAACACGAGATAGATATGACTGACGTGCACACTCAATGTCAACACGAGATAGATATGACTGGCGTGACCACTCGATGTCAACACGAGATAGATATGACTGACGTGCACACTCAATGTCAACACGAGATAGATATAAATCCCCAGCAGGTGTCTGATACAGTCATCGCCTGGCTACTTATCGAACACCTG